CACAAAATAAAACACATAAAACACAAGAAAATAAGGACAAAAACACAACAAACAATCGCACGGGCTCTGTACTAGTTAATATATAATAAGGATTAACATAATTCACTTTTAGAAACTCTTTTCCGCCAATTTCATTAATTACATGCTAAATTTAGAATGTTAGGACAATTTGGGACAAGATATTAATGAGTATCTATAATTTTACGAATAATTGATACAATCCGATTTTTATTCACTTTTCAGAATTTGGTTAGATATTGACCTATGGAATAATACATCCACAATTTTAGGAATAAAATGATACAATCCCAATTTGCTAATATGTAGGCAAAATCTATGGAATAATATAATTCCGGCATGGACATGACCGTGAATCTCCACTGCTTCTCGTTTGACCTCTTACACCTCAAAGGTATTTATCCTTCCACAAATTATATATATATATATATATATTATTTATTTATTTATTTTATGTTTTAGATTTTTTAATATAATATTTAATTAGAAATCTAACATTCTACAAACTTATTAAAAAAATTACTATTTAATCATTTGTATTTTTATAACTACAAATAGTTATTTTACCTTTTTTTCCTGATAAATTACATTAAATAATTTTTTCATATCAATATTATTTTACATTATCTATATCTATATATATAATAAGAATGCAAATCAAATATAATAAGCATTTCTTGCCATTATGCATTAATTACATTCTAATTATAATAATTTTACACAATTCATTAAAACAAACCTCGAACCATTAATTGCAATCAGTTTTAACTTTCCTCGACAACCGGATTTATTGTTTTAAAAAATATTCCATAATATTTGATTAAAGACTAAATCCGATTATTTGGAATCAATTCTATTTAAAAGCAATGTTATTGTGGAATCAAATATTATGAAGTATCATTTTAAAATCAGTATAATTATGGACTCAAATAATTTAACTACGATTCAATATTTTTAATTCAATCTATATCTCTTTTTAGACTTTTCAATTCATTTTAATATAACATAAATTTGCCGTAAAAATGAGAGTAGAACTTTACAATAATTATGGTATCAATATTAATAATATAAATGATAAATAAAAAATTTAATTATTTGGACTGTACACTTTATTATATACATATAAATAAATCGCATATTTGAATTTAAAATTATTTATTTTTTTCATATATAGTTATACAATATATGCAACTTAACTACAAGTAAAACATTTAGTAAATATTTCATTTCAATCATGGTAACATGTTTTTAAAAATTGCCACAATATTCGATTCACCATTCTACTACGCATGTAAACAACTTTTTATTTATATTATCACGATTTTTTTATCATTTTGAATTATTTTTTTATCAATTTAGTTATGAAATAAATTTTTCATTTAAAAATAGTGATTTAATGTCATCCGATTTATTTAGATAGTTTTGAGCTACAAATGATAAAATGTCGTTATTTTTTTTTAACGTGATTATATTTGTAAATATTATTTTACAAAAGGTACAATCAAAAATCCAAATCTCTGTTAAAATATAAAAAAAAAAAAAAAAAACAAAATTGTTCACAATATTGGAATGGATTTGGAATAAAAAAGAGAATGATTTAAAAAAAATTATGTACTCAAAATCAACAATTTAAGATAATAATTTTTCTTATATTCTATATAAATTAAATTTTACCAGATAAATCATATTTTAGTATTTAGCACAATATTACATATTTACACAATAATTTTTATTTGTGGTGCTAACATAACGAAAATCAACAAAAAAAGTAAGAAGGTGTCTATGCAGTTCGCAATTACCAATTGGAGAGCAATATTGGTAAATAGCGGTCTACGGTTGCCAAGTGCAAAGTAATTTTGCATAGAAATATGACAATATTTTTAATAATGTATGACTTTTTCATGACGAACATTTTACGATTACTTGACAAATACTCTATGTATTATAACTTATTGATTAATAATTTAATTATAAATTTTACCAAAATAAATACAGCCCGTGCATCGCACGGGGTTACGTACTAGTTCGTTGTAATCTCGTGATTATAAATGATTACGACGTTCACGAGTAAATTAATGTCTCAATCGTTGCGTAAATTGGTGATTAATCTTAATTATGATGCTTGGCCACAATCAAATTATTGAATTAATTAGATTATGACATTAATATATACTACTATATTAATCTGTCAACTTTTGCAATATTATCATTGTAACCTGAACAGCCTTTGAAGAACATCACACTGCATAAACATAGCGTGGATTAAATTAAATGAACCAGTTAAATAAAATATATATATAATATTTAAATAAAAATTTAAAACCAATAGATTACATATATACTCCATTACTCTTAAATAATGGACCATAGATTGCAATTCAGTTTCCAATGAGATCTCAAAAGACCAACATTATATCCTCTCAAATGTCCCATTCTTCAAAAACTCACGAGCACTCTTTTAAGTATTAAATTAACATAATAGTAGTACATAGTATTAATTAATATTTAAATGCTCACCCCTCTTCCCAACTTGAAATTGAAAAGGTGCAACCCACATTTAGAAGTCACTTATTGATTTTAGAAGTGTATTGAGTTGAGAATTGAGATCGAGTTGTTAATACTTGAGTTCGGGATTGAGTCATTATCAAGCAGATGAACGACTTCGAGTTCAACTCGTTTATTAATATTAACCAATCCAGTTTGAGCCTCGACGAGTAGAAATCGATCTTTAACTGGTCGAACTATAGAAAACTGCATTAAATCTCTGTTTTCGAGTCACAATGAGTAGAACTATAGAGAATAGCATAAAAACTCATACTTTTGGGCTTTAGCTAGCCGGACAAGTTAACTAAATGAACTTCAGACGAGCTCAAGTTCGATTCGTTCGTCAAACGAGTTGAGTGAGCTCAAGTTTTACGGAGCCGAACTCATAAGCGACTCTAGTTGAAATTTGATTTTAATTGCACATGCAAGTATAATATACTAAAAGCTACTCCCTCCATTCTAAAATATAAGACATATAAGGATTTTTTAAATTTTTTGAAATATAAGACACATTAAAAAACCAAGGCAAATTCTTCTTTTCTTTTTTTTTTTCAAATATACCGTCATTGTGTTGAAATAAAGGAAGTGTGGAGTAGTTGTAATTAGAGTAAATAAGGTTAGTTTAGCCAATTTATTCATTAATTAATGTTTCCTTAATGTTTGTGTGAATTCCTTCCACGCCTTATATGTCAGAATGGAGGGAATATATTTTTTGTACCTAGAAAAGGCTCATAAATATCCCATAAGCCATAAATCAAGAAAAAACTTTTAAAATTAATTTTAGCAATGAGATAGGAACCCATAAGATGATTGATTGGTCTAAAGGACCACTAAATTAAATCAATTGGGCAGGAAATAAATGAATCTTGAAAAGGCATACTAAAAGGGTTTTATTCGTGGCCTCAAAAGAACTATTTTAGAGATAATGTT